TTTGCTAATACAGGACTAAATAGCTATTTGAATATTTTCAACTCAACCTAGCTTTCTTCAACCCAACACAGTGAAATAAATCAGATTTAAAAGGGTGGATATAAAAATTCATTAAAGACAACAGAATCCACAGCCCAGATCAGAAATAGCATTGGCTCTGAGATCTGGCACTATTACACATCACAACAATTTAAAAAAAAAAAAAAGAAATCCCAAATTTAAGGAATATCAGTTGAATGTAAAGAAATGTATACTTTTACACCACATATCATTCAACCAGCAAAGAATGCCAAACTCATATACTGTAAGAGAAGAGCAATGAATCAATACTACCTTCTGTAAACACATTGATTATGAAAACAAAGGATTCATATAATGTTCATTTTAATTATGGGTAGCCTACATATCACATTCTAAGCAAATCGCCTATTGTCTATGTGATATAACAAGCTTCCCAGGCAGCGCCAGTGGTCAAGACCTACCTGCCAATGCAGGAGATGTAGGAGACACGGATTCGATCCCTGGGTCAGAAAGATCCCCTGGAGGAGGGTATGCCTACTCACTCCGGTGTTCTTGCCTTGAGAATCCTACCCGCAGAGGGGCCTGGAGGGTTGTGGTCCATGGGGTCACAAAGAGTTGGACACGACTGAGGTGACTTGGCACACACACATGAATACAATGCTAATATGAAATATCTTTGTTCTATTCCAAATATTGCTAAAAACAGCCATAATTACACTTAACAGACATCCCCTCCAAAACAACAACAGAAAAAAAAAAAACCAGAAAGTACAATAAATCACTGTTTTCCTTTAAGAAAAGACAATCCATCTTCAGTATTAGAAGAAGAATACAAAATTTCATAGTACTGTGTATGTCGCAGAGTCTGAAAGTCTTGATAAAATAATGAGTAATGACTGATAATAGATAAAAGTGTCCATGTAGCCAAATGAAGCTGGTATTAAATCTTTAATAACCTGTATATAACCTTGAGTATTAGAAACCAATGACTTGGATGCAAGCACTTAAGGAGATATGAATCTAGCTCAGTTTCTGTCAGAAAATATTGCCAAAGTTTCAACTCCTAATGGAGAGTATTAAAACACTTCTTGGCCCCAAATCACAAAAGGGTTCTGTTGGAGTTGATCCAAAAGAACTAACTAGAATGTGATTGGCAAATCTGGGCGATTTGAACTCGGCCTGAAAGATCCAAGTTCCAGGAAAGAATCTGGTTATTAAATTGGTAGTTTCAAACTTCTGAAAGTGTATTATGCTATCACTTAATTGCAAAGCAATTTTGTAATTAACTTTATAATTTAATCAGCTATACTTCCGGTGACTCAGACGGTAAAGAATCTGCCTGCGATGCAGGAGACCCTAGTTCAATCCCTGGGTCCTCCCCTGGAGAAGGGCATGGCAATCCACTCCAGTATTCCTGCCTGGAGAATCCCATAGACAGAGGAAGCAGGTGGGCTACAGTCCATAGAATTGCACAGAGTTGGACACAACTGAAGCTACTTATCATAGCACAGCTCAGCACAGCATATTTACCACAAAACAAAATTTAAATTTAACACTAACAAGAAAAAATCTTTACTATAATTGTAACACCTAACGTTTTTAAAGCTCTTAGTATAGGTCAAGCACTAGACTAAGCATTGCACATTAATTCTCAAATTCTATAAAATTCATACTATAATAATCTCATTTACATAGGTGAGAAAACTGAAATAATTTAGTCAAGATTACACATTTGGCAAATAGCAGTGTCTGGGATCACTGAAACATTTGCCACTCTCCTTCCATCTCTACAGAAACTCAGGGGAAAAGTGGGGTGGGAAAAGGCAGTGAAGAGTTGAAATTGATATTCAAGTGTATAAACTGCAATTCTATAATTTTCAGAGTAGTTTCAAACTCCTAGATTCACATGTAGCTTGAATTTTAAAAGCTGTTAAAATGATTGATATGTGTTTTACATTAAATAAATATTTTTGAAAGAATTATATCAAAGGGAAAATAAAAGATAATAAAACCCTGTCTGCCTCTAACACGGTGGTCAAAGAAGTTCATCCAATGTTGTTGCTTTTATGAATAACACTGACTTTTAAAAGTAGAGGCTACTAAACAAGATAACTACACTCTGTATGAGTGTGTACTTACTCACTCAGTCGTGTCCGACTCTGTGGGACCCCAGGGACTGTAGCCCCACCAGGCTCCTCTGTCCGTGGGGATTCTCCAGACAAGAATACTGGAGTGGGTTGCCAGGCCCTCCTCCAGGGGATCTTCCCAACCCAGGGATCAAACCCAGGTCTCCCGCACTGCAGGTGGATTCTTTACCAGCTAAGCCACCAGGGTATATGTAACATTATTACTTATACTAAACATGATGGAAATACAATGCATTTTCACTAACCAATATTAAATGGAATCCCTTCCAATATAATTTATGAAATGTGCTTCAAGCTATACAAAGCATAAAATAAATGTGTGTATACCAGGGTTTGAGATAAATTTTATATCACAAATTAAAAAAATGGCAACTATATTTGGTTGGTCTACAGGAATACCGCTTCAAAAGAGGCACATTTAATCTGGAATTATGTATTTTCCCCAACAGGATAATCAAAGAAAAATGCTATAAGTTGCTTCTTTAGATTTCTGAGACTTTTATGAATGAATCTCAGAACTCATTTGTTACATGATTACTCTGCAAGTAGTTATTCACAATATAAATATTTTATTTTGTTTCACTTCTAGCGCAAGAAATGAAATATCCTAAATTCCAAACAATCTCTCAAATCATCTTTTGAATTAAATTGGCTGAGTTTCCAATTTCGATATACTATCTCATTAGCACTTTTTCATAATTTAAAGAGAACCTGTATTACTTCTTCATAATCAAAGTAATGGACATTTTTCAAGTCACCAAGTTTCTAGGGGGAAAAGAGCAAAACTGTGAAAGATTCTGAAATGCAAGACCCCTAACTTCAGAGCACTTATGCTTATATCTTCTCTAACTAAAAGTCACTAAAAAAAGCCAGAAGTTCATTTCCTCTCATCTTCTGAAGTGCTTGGAAATAAACCCTTATTGAAATGCCATAAATGCTTAGATGTTAAGTGTCAATAAAGGTCCCTTCCTTTGAGTGGCTTTTCTGACTACTGATCTTTTTATTGTGTGACAAATCATACTTTCATATAATTAAGACAATTAGATTTTATTGAAATGTAATTGATTTACAATATAGTGTTAATTTTAGGTGTACAGCAAAGTGATTCATTTATATATTTTTCAAATTATTTACCATTTTGGTTATTACGAGATATGGAATACAGTTGCCTGTGCTATACAGTAAGTTCTTGTTGAGTATCTATTGAATGTATAGTAGTTTGTTAATCCCACACTCCAATTTTATGCCTCCTCCCCTCCCCCCTTTGGTAACTGTAACTATTTTTTATACGTCTGAGTCTGTTTCTGTTTTGTATATAGACTTATTTGTATTAAAATGACACATATAAGTGATATATAAGAATTATATCCTTAAGACAAATAGCTTTTTATCTAGCACTTTAATGGTCACTTTCTTTGCTTTTCTGTTGAGATGGTTTTCTTAGGACAATAAACACTATTAAAAAAATCTTAAGTTTGGGGATTTTGTCACCCTTACCTCCATGGTTACTAGAATATACAATGAGCAACATCCAATAGAGTTGAAAGGAAAGGTCCTTTCCACTTTCCCAGTCAAAATAAAGTGCAAAAATTGCCTGAGTCCCAAACAGTGAATGACTCAAATAAATAAATACAATGGACGCTGGGCTTATTTCCATCATAGGCTATCAGTGCTACTCTCCCTAACACTACAGGAAAGTTTTCAGTCTTCCTGTATTTTGACAAAGAAAAAAAAAAAAAGTTTGCCAAATGATGCCCCCGCTGCCAAGGAAGGTGCCTTTTCATTTGTCCAAACAGCTCTCAGGTTGCGGGGCTCCTCGCTTTATACGCGTCACTGAGGACCGTCTCCGCCCCGGCCGCCCATCCCCCAAGCCCCAGTGATGCTCGGCGGAGTTCGTGAACTTGATCCGCAGATCGCCCTCGCCACGCCAAGTGCACTACAAAAAGCATCATGCCAGATGTTCTCCAAATCCTCTCTCTCGTTCTCTAAGTTCACTGCATTTATTCCCCCTGGGAGAGTGGATCAACCCCCTATTCGCACTGGAGGTGCCCAGAAAGGAAATACAACACACGCGCGCGCGCGCGCACACACACACACGTGCACGCGTGCACACCGTGTCCCTCCCTAATCTCCAACCCTGACAGCAGCGCTCAGACAACCAAAGTCCGTTCCCTCCGCGCCACTCCGTCCAAAACACACAATTACAGAGGATCGGGGAAATCTGGCGCTGGGGAAATCTGAGGTTTATACGGGTCAAGGGAAGCCTCTTTCCCCCGGACTTTTGAGGCGCTTTGCAGACTTAATCGCCACTTTTCTTGTTGCCCACTACTGAAATCACCCATAATGGGAGGCTCCTGCGCGGACCTCACCACCAGGAGGCCAGCGGGGCGCGGCGACACCTTGATGCCAACCCTGTCTCTGGAGGGACACCCCCGGGACCCACGTACGTTGACCCCCAGGAGAACAGCGGCGGCAGAGAGACGGGGGCACTTATGCGCTCAGCCTTGCGCCTTGCGCTCGGGTCTCTTCCCAGCCCTGGGCAATAGAAGGACACCCAGCGCCTCCACGGGCTGGGCAGGGCAGGAGGGCAAGATCAGTAAAGTTGAGGAGCAGGACTGCTTGGGCACTGCGTGCTCCTGAGCTGTGGAAGAGGCGCCGAAAGCCAGCGAGCAAGGCGCGAACCCAAAGATCAAGTCGGCCACGGTGGGCGGAGGGCGCGCAGGGACCGCAGACCCGCCGGGAGCCGCGGGGGCCGGCGAGGGAGCGGGGAGCACGCGGAGCCCGCGGGGGGTCGGCGAGGGAGCGGGGAGCTCGCGGAGCCCGCGAACTTACGGAAGAAGATGTACTCGGTGTAGCTGCTCCAGATCTTGTCGTCGCGGTACTGGTTGACGAAGGCGGCGGTGCCCGAGGAGTTACACGCCACCATGTGGAAGCCGGCCTCGGACAGGCGATCGAACGCCTGCTCCAAGTAGGTGAACTTGAGGTAGAAGCGGGACGTGTACTTCTCGGGCGGCCGGTCGGGGTCGCGGCTCTCGTTGAGCGTGTCGCCGAACACCTCCTTGGCCAGCGCGATGCGCCCGCACACCATGATGCGCGCCACGCGCCGGAACTTGGCGTCCGCCTGGTTGTCTCGCACCGTGGTGTAGGAACCGCGGTAGCCGAGCGTGAGGAAGCCCGAGCGCCTGTCCGGCGCGCCGCCGCCGCCGTGCGCCCCGGGGCCCGAGGGGGCGGCGGCCGCCGCCCCGCGGAGCAGCAGCGCGTCGCTGCTGCCCTGCGAGACGTTGTCCTCCAGGTCGCTCTGGCAGCCCTCGTCGTTGAGCGAGTTCTGCTTGGTGACCTTGGGCGACAGCAGCTTGACCAGGTCGGTGAGCTGGAAGTACTCGGCCTCCCGGAGGAGCCGCTCCTTCTCGGGGAAGTGCTCCGGCAGCGCGAGCTGCTTGTCCCGCAGATAATCCAGCACGTACCTGAAAAGGAAGCCGTCCCGGTCGATGAAGAAGCGCGCCCGGCTGTCTCTGGGCAGCTCGCCCCGGCGTCGGGCGCCGCCCCGGGGGCTGGAAGGCGAGAACATACTGGCCAGAGTGCTGTCCGGGACGCTGAGCAGCGTCGAGTGCTTGGTCACATAGACCTGGCCCCCTACGTTCAGCTCCACCACCTCGGGGAAGGGCGAGGGCACGCAGGGCCCCGGGGCGGCGGCTGCCGACGCGCCGGGGGAGCTGGTCGAGGAGACCATCTCGCTAATGGGCAGGATGGTGCCGCCGCCGCTGCCCGTGTCCTTCAAAGCCATGGTCCCCCCGCCGCCGGCCAAGGGACCCTGGAGCGCAGCACTTTCTCCTTCCCGAAACCCGTGCCCTGCGCCCCGGGTGGGGTGCGCCCGCTGCGCCCTCGGGCCGGGCGGCGCGTTCCTCCGGCCGGGGCGGCCCGGTTCAGGGCTCGGGGCGGCGGCGGCGGCGCCCGGGCTCCATCGGGGAGCGGCGCGCGGGAGAGGAGCTCTGCGGGCGCCGCGGCGGCGGCAGAGGCGCCAGGAGGAGCGGCTGCTCCTTTGGGGCGAAGGCGGGGAAGTGTGAGAGAGACTTGCGGGAGCCTGTCTTAGGCGGCCGCTCGGCTCTCCGCGGGGCGGGCGGGAGGAGGGGCCGCAGCGAGGAAAACTCGCCGCCCCAGCAGCTGGCGAGCGCGCCGCGAGCCCGGAGCGCGGACGGGGGCGCTAACTACCCCTCGCGGCCCGGGAGGCGAGGCTGACGTCAAGCCCAGGCCTGGGACCCGAGCCGCAGCTGTCATTTAAAGAGGTAGGTGCCAGCCTCTGGCTGCCGGGCTCCGACGCTAGGGGGCGGAGCCGAGGGCAGAGCCTGGAGGGGATGCTACTTGGCAGCGAGTGGGGAGACGGGGAGAAGCGGGCAGGGATCCGACCACGAACGGGAAAGGCCAGCTTTCTCTCCTTCATTCATTTCATTCCCTTCTTCCGTCCGTCCTTCTCTTCCTCCGTTGCCGTTGTTCGCCCAGTAAAACTGTGTTTTTATGCTGGCATTAAGGTGGAAAGTGGGGTAGGGGGGTGGATTATTTAAAAAAAAAAAAAAAAGCTAGGCTCCTAATATGAAATGACGACAAATGTTGGCAGGAGGGTTTTGATTGTCAAAAGACTGGCAGCGGGGGAGGGGGGTTGAATCTCTTGTAATGGTTTTAGCATGGTTTTTTGAAGTGAAAGGCGAAATGCATGAACCTCTATTACATTCCGATGTCATGATTGCCTAGTAAACTGCATGCACTATGTGCAGTTGAAGAATTTTTAAAACTGAAATCTGATTTCAGTTCACAAAACTAATCACAGATTGTGGTAACGCGACGGTTCTCTCATTTCGTCAGTGTTTGATTCATAGTAGATGCTTAATAACTGTTTATGAAGGGAGGGACGCAGCCAGGGAGGAAACTTAGTCTGTTTATTCCTAGTTTCCCATCTTGATCTGTCCTTTGATTAATCTCTCCTTTTCCCTTTCAACTCCATAGGGCAAGAGAAATGGTTTACATTTTATTAGTTATCTAACCCCAAGAGTCAGGTCACAAATGAAAATTATAAGAATTTAAGCTCACTTTAATTTCCATTTGTACACAACACAGGTACAGTCTTTTAAGATCAGCATTATTTGTGATGAAGAGCGAGGCTAGAGATGCAAATGAACCTCACTTCTGCCTATTCCTCCTGGGACATCCTTTTGTGTGCGGAAACATAAAGAATCATTAATTTATATAAAGTTCAAAGGGGAAAAAGTATACTGTGGCACAAGTAGATTGCTTCACAAATTATAGTATTATAGATGAACTTTATCCATTAACAAAATAATGTACAGATTTTCATGTCTTAAAAATTCCATATGCCTACTTAGGATTCCTTCTCTTTGAATTTAACATACACACAAACAATAAACTCTAATTTTTAAGAAGAAATAAATTATTTAGAAGATTAAAAACTATATTTAATTCATTGATCCCTGTAAGCCACATCCCCAGAAAATGTTGTATCAGTTTTGAAGTTAGATTGCCTGAGACTGTAATGCGCCAGTGAAAGAACACAGTGTATTTGCCGAAGGTGTAAGACTTAAAACTGAGTGTAAATTGTCCATCTTCATGCAATCCTCTTATCCCAGCCTCCCCTAAATTTATAAACCAGTCAAATTAAGAAGAATAATTGGTTTTGGCCTTCTTCACTTAAAAGCTAACATCAGAAAACACCTGAAAATTTAAAATAATCATTCTTGGGAAATGAATTAATAGAAGCTTTATAATCTTTATAGATGAATGAATAATAAAGTCTCACACCACTACTAATGAAGCTCATTTATCATGAGGTAAGTGTCCCTAATGATAAGTATGTTATAGACCATAGAAATGTAATGAAGTGGATGTATAATACATATGCATATGTGTATATGAGGTCTCCAGTATTATCAGGTTGCAATCCATTTTAATCTTTTTAATTGCATAAAGTATGCTTTTAAGATGAAATAGCCTAAAATGTGTACTCTAAATGAATCATCTTAGAAATTCTTAGTGAATTGCATCATATGATGTATTACTTTTTTGAAATCTTTCAACCATGATTGAACATTTTTCCTTAACCCCTTCCATCCCCACACTCCTCTTAATCTCACCCCTCCCCCAGCTAGACTCTCCAGCCAAACTCCAAATTGTACAAATCTCAGGTCCAGAATCTCTTTACCAGTGGTTCATCTGGCTAGGAATGCCTTTCCTTTTCCACGAGTTCCCTAATCTTTTCTCCCTGTTTATTGCTTCCCTGAGGTTTCATCTTAAAAAGTGCTTCCTCTGGAAATCTTTCAGACTTATAACAAACCAGCTGTTCCCAAACAGGTGTTCCTATGCTTACACAAGGACAGGTGTTTTTTTTTTTTTTAAATCACACTGATGTGTGCTTGTTTCCCATCAGATAAAAGTATGGCATGCCTCTGTATGCACTACCCATCCCCAGCATCATGCCTAGCCCTTAGGAGACAGTCAACTTCTGATGAATGCTAACTGCAGAGAAGTGTGTTCCTATCACGAATGGACGACAAAGCATCAACTGGGTGCTAGACGCTGGGCTAAGCAATGAGATTGCAGAGATAAATACGACTAATTCCTTCACAACTAAAATCAGGAGAAGTGAGAAGAGGATCTGATTGAATAAAATCAGATCTAAAGAAGAGAAAGCAAGAAAGAGACAAGCACTATTGGAGCAGTTGTTTCACTATTGGAGCAGTTGTTTTGGTGAATTGAGAAAACAGCAAATACTGTAACTAGAACGATCTTGTTCTAAGCCACAGACACCATTAATGTTCCCTGGATCAACTTAATCACAAGGATTCAGTTCAGTTCAGTCACTCAGTCATGTTCAACTCTTTGCAACCCCATGAACCTAGCACGCCGGGCCTCCCTGTCCATCACCAACTCCAGAGTTTACTCAAACTCATGTCCATTGAGTCGGTGATGCCATCCAACCATCTCATCCTCTGTTGTCTCCTTCTCCTCCTGCCTTCAATCTTTCCCAAAATCAGGGACTTTTCAAATGAGTCAGCTCTTCGTATCAGGTGGCCAAAATATTGGAGTTTCAGTTTAACATCAGTCCTTCTAGTGAACACCCAGGACTGATCTCCTTTAGGATGGACTGGTTGGATCTCCTTGCAGTCCAAGGGACTCTCAAAAGTCCTCTCCAATACCATAGTTCAAAAGCATCAGTTCTTCAACGCTCAGCTTTCTTTATAGTCCTAACTTTCACATCCATACATGACCACTGGAAAAACCATAACCTTAACTAGATGGAGCTTTGTTGACAAAGTAATGTCTCTGCTTTTTAATATGCTGTCTAGGTTGGTCGTAACTTTCCTTCCAAAGAGTAAGTGTCAGTGATTTTGGAGCCCAGAAAAATAAAGTCTTCCACTGTTTCCCCATCTATTCACCATGAAGTGATGAGACTGGATGCCATGATCTTAGTTTTCTGAATGTTAAGCTTTAAGCCAACTTCTTCACTCTTCTCTTTCATTTTCATCAAGAGGCTCTTTAGTTCTTCTTTGCTTTCTGCCATAAGGGTGGTGTCATCTGCATATCTGAGGTTATTGACATTTCTCCCAGCAATCTTGATTCCAGCTTGTGCTTCTTCCAGACCAGCGTTTCTCATGATGTACTCTGCATATAAGTTAAATAAGCAGGGTGACAATATACAGCCTTGACGTACTCCTTTTCCTATTTGGAACCAGTCTGTTATTCCATGTCCAGTTCTAACTGTTGCTTCCTGACCTACATACAGGTTTCTCAAGAGGCAAGTCAGGTGGTCTGGTATTCCCACCTCTTTCAGAATTTTCCACAGTTCATTGTGATTCACACAGTCAAAGGTTTTGGCATAGTCAATAAAGCAGAAATAGATGTTTTTCTGGAACTCTCTTGCTTTTTCAATGATCCAGTGAATGTTGGCAATTTGATCTCTGGTTCCTCTGCCTTTTCTAAAACTAGCTTGAATATCTGGAAGTTCACGGTTCACGTATTGCTGAAGCCTGGCTTGGAGAATTTTGAGCATTACTTTACTAGCGTGTGAGATAATTGCAATTTTGCGTTAGTTTGAGCATTCTTTGGCATTGGCTTTCTTAGGGATTGGAATGAAAACTGACCTTTTCCAGTCCTGTGGCCACTGCTGAGTTTTCCAAACTTGCTGGCATATGGAGTGCAGCACTTTCACAGCATCATCTTTCAGGATTTGAAATAGTTCAACTGGAATTCCATCACCTCCAGTAGCTTTGTTCACAGTGATACTTCATAAGACCCCCTTAACTTCATATTCCAGGATGTCTCACAAGGATGGGTCCTTAAAATCTGTTGTCGTGCCAAGACAAGACATCAAAGTTCTCCATCTACAGATATCCCTATATCCCTTCACTTTCCAGAAAGTTTTAAACAATACAGGCAAAACTCTGTCTCTAAAAGTACAGCAGACTAACCAGAAAGGAAATTGGAGTCCAGGTTGTAATAAATAATTTGTAATTTAAAAATAATGAATATTTCTTCACCAGGGTGAGAGTTACTTAAAGGCAGGAGCTATATCCCCTTAGGGGAGGAAGAAGACACACGGTTTAAAGAGAGGTTTAAAGTCAGGCAGAACTGGCTCAAAAGTCTGCCTTTGTGTCTTTCTGGCTTTGTGATTTGAACAAGTGACTTAACTACTCTAAACCTTAGTTTCTTCATGGATACAGCGGAAATAATAAAGACCAGAGGCTTTTCACTGAGATCACGCGTTCCATAATGTGGCCA